TAGCAGGCAGGGCCCCCACAGTGTCCTGCCCAGCCGCACCCCATTGGTGGCGCTAGATCCCTGCTCTTGCTATTTTGAGGGCATATGTGATGTAAGTAACGCTCATCCCTCCGTAGGGGTGGGGGGAGGGAGTGTCTCAGCATAGGGATGAATTTGACCACAGGTAGTCCAGAGCATGGTTCTCACATGGATCTCAGACAGGATACACTGGCACTTACTGTTGTTGTTAAGAACTAGTGAGAACCTCTGTCCGTTTTACTGTTGCCCACCTGCCATTTGGTATCACACAACAGGTAAATGGAAGACTCAGAAATAGACAGACGCCTCTTTGAGGCTTACCTCATTCCTTCTGCAGCCATCTGATCCAAGTTAGGAGTGTCCTTGGTTTCTGCCCAGTTGGCCCCAAGGTCCCCCCATCCAACATCATCTGCCAAAATGACTATGAAATTTGGCTTGTTCTGAACTGTTCTCTTCTCACCCACACAAAGATCTGAGAGGTGATAGAAGAGCCCAACTAAACAGCCAGCCAGCAGCAGAAGCATTTTCAGGAACAGAATCTCCATGGTGTCAGGAGAACTCCTCCTGGAGACCTTTAGTGTGAGTGAGTAGGTGGTGGTGGCCTATTCCTGCCGCACGCTCATTTGAGAACTCCCATTGTTGTGCTTTCCTCGGACGTGAGTCAGCTGTTTATTGCCACCCAAAGCAGCCCTAAGATTCTGCAGAGAAGCAAATTTCACATCTTTGGATGGTGCTGAAGAGACGAGTTACAAAACTGTGGTATTGACTTTTGATCATTTGGAGATCGACTGAACCATAATCTTCCTCTCTCTTTTCCGTTTGCAAACAGCTGACATGCTAAGTGAGATCTTGTAGGAAGTCACAATAATCATACTGTCATTTAATAATTGTGGGGTTTTGCTAAATATGCAATTAAAATAACGTCTTATTAATATATAAAAACGGTTTACTTGTTTTTCCCAAGCTTCTTTATCCTGATTACAAATTGTCCGTACGGCATCCAATTTTATAAATTACTTAGTCCCAGGAAGCATGCAATTTAGATTACTGGTGTTTACAGGAGAATTCTCTATTTGGCCTTGTAAAGTGATGATGCCCATTCTTCAAAAGACTAGACAAAAGTTGAAGTTAAATGATGTCGAACTGTTCTTTGAATTCCATAAGGGGGACACCTTTACATTACAGCAAATGTTCCTGTGCAAGAAAAACAAGAGACAATTAGCACTGGAAAGAGTTAAGCTTTTAGACCCTAATCCTAGCGAGGGTAAGAATTGTTTTTCGATTGCAGAGACATTTCCTTTGCTTTGCAAACACAGCAGTTGCAATTTTGCTGTCAAATTTAAGGTTGCTGTAACTCAACTGGTAACTACTCCAATGCCTGGAAACAAATGCAGTGCCCATTTTCCCTAATCACCCCATATCAAACCTACAGACTCTGATTGTATAAACAATCAAGCCTGACTTCTTCTTATACAATTATGAGATAAAGATCACTGGAGAAGTAATTCTGCCTAGATTTGCAATGTGATCTCAGATTTGATCTTTGAGCATGAGGTCATGCGTCCAAAAAAGAATTAGATAAGTTCCTGCAGGATAGGTCCATCAATGGCTATTAGCCAAGATGGTCAGGAACGCAACCCCATTATCTGGGTATTTCTAAACATCTGACTGCTAATAGCTGGGACTGGAAGACAGGGGATAGATCACTTGTTAATTGCCCTGTTCTGTTCATTCCCTCTGAAGATCTGGTACTGGTCACTGTTAGAAGACAGGATTCTGGGATAGATGGACCATTAGTCTGACCCAGTATGGCGATTCTTATGTTCTTATGTCATGGGGTGTTATTAATCTGCATTGCAGACAGCAAACAGGCAGATAGGATTTATGTGCAGACTTTCCACAATTTTTAATAATTTACAAGGACTAAGGCCAGTTAGTAAAACTCAATTTTAAAAATTAAACCTTATTTACACTGAACAGGCCCACTCCTCATACTGAGCCAGAACATGACACGCTTCCTCATCTGGAATAGCAGCTTATCCCATGAGTAGTCCTGTTGAACTCAAGGAGTTCTCTACATGAGTAAGGGTGTCAGAATCTAGTGTCCAGAGAGCAGCACTGGTCTCAGAAATACAGGGCAGGGCAGGAGAGGCTGGAGAGAAGCTGATGTAGTGGCTGTGTGCTGATGGATCGTCACGGAAATCAGTGTGCTTGCAGGATGGTAGCTGGGGGCAGATTTGGTTTAAGGTGGCTATAGGAAGGCATGTAAGGCAGAACTAAGGGACCAAATGCCTGTAGGGCTGTCTAGAGAAACTGCCTAGAGTTATAGTTGGGGAACATGTTGAAAGTTACGATTTAACTAATCAGCCAAGATTTACAAAAAATGAGCTGATGCCTAAGAAATCAGTGTGAATTTCATGAGACAGTAACAAGAAATGAGGTGGCAGGAAGCTCATATAATTTACAAGCCTTCAGGCTATTTATACAAAACCATCAGCACAAGCCTAATCTGCAAGGACAATAAGAATGATATCAGAGGATGAGACATTCGAATGGGCAAAGAACTGGCTTTAATATCAAATACAGAGAGCACCGAGTATCAGCGGCTTGAAGCAGACGGAGCAAGCTAGCTGAGTCCAGCTAGGGCCAGTATTCTGACAGATGTTTCCAGTTGTGTATCAATGCCCTTGAGAAAAGAATGTGTAGCTGATAATACAAAACTTGAGGGTCAGTCAACACAACTGAGGAGGGCAACAAAATTAAGAATGATCTAGATAAACTCAAAGGAAGAGTAAATAAATGAATAATAAAAACCAAAAGGACCATGAGATGCAGGGTAAAAAGAGAGAAAACAAAACAAACACCACGTGTAGGTCAAGAATTCAGCAGCTGGCAGTGGGAAATAAGTCATAATTTCCCAGTCAAATTCATTATTAAGTTTTAAAAGTCTTAGGGCTTCAGTTCAGATCAGCATCTTTCTTTAGTCTTCTCACTTATAATAAAAAATCATCATAATAAATATAACCTTGTGAAGTTATTTAACACCTTTCATCTGAGGCTCTCAAAGCTCTTTACAGACATTCATTAATGAAGTGTGTGAGGTACAGAACAGCCCTCCAGATGCACAGACAGTCTAAGTGATTTGTCCAGGATCACACAGGAGCCACTGCCTGAGCCAAGAATAGACCTCAGGAGTCCTGACTTCCATTTGTGTGCATTAACCACAAAACCACAGTCATTCCCTCATGTATTACACTACCAAAAAGAACCTATATCAGACAGAGAGCTAGATTAGATTGGTACTAAATTTCCTTCATTTCCAGACAGAATTCCCATTGTAGTGAAACAGACTTATGGGGGCAGAATTCCTTCAGAAAGAAGGTTTTGAACGAATGAGCCCAAATTGTTTCCTGCAGGGCTCCGTTGATGAAAGTTTCTCCGATGATGAAAGTTTCCCAGTTGATGAAAGTTCCCTGACAGATTTTACTGGTTTTCCTATTATCAGCCTCTGGGCTGGGTTGGTTGTTTTAGTTAGGTTTTTTTTTTCTCCTAATGAAAAGGGAAGCCTCTGAAATAAGTAGGGACAGGATACTCTCTTTTCTCAGGTGAAAGCTGCTTGTAGGCTGCCGTACACTGCAGAGCTCTTTAAATATTGCCTTGTGTACATAGAGAAACATCCCATAAAGTTTGCCAACTTTCATTGAAAAAAAATATTCCCAGAATAAAATAAACCAATTCTTATAATCTTTTCATAAGATGACTCTGGTTCCAATCCAGCCCAAGGGATTGATCCAGCAAACACTATCAGGTGTCGCATTTGCTACTATGAACGGTTCCCCGTGGCGTAACCTCCAAGTGCAAATTTGCCAACACCGAGCGTTCCAGAATCTTGAGACGGGCTTTGAAATCACAAGATTTTAAAAATTAATAAATGGGGAGAAGGGGTTCTTGTTATTTGCTTTCTGGATTTTGAGCTTTTAGGGATCACTTTTTCAAGCTTTTTCCACAAGCCTGAGGGCTAGGCTTGTGTTGTGACTTGCAACAAATTGTTGGACTATTCTTTTAGCCATTTTCTGTTTTTTGTCCTGGGCTACCCCAGGTTGTGAGCGATGGTCAGGCCGACGCATGAGTCCGTGCTCGGTTTCCCGGTTTATTCTGCTTTTATGTGGCTTGTTTGGCAGGAGAATTTTGCCGCAGTGCATTCGGGGTGCCAGCCCTTGTGCCCTGTAGCTGCGGTACCCCTCCGCTTTGGCCGGGCTGCCCTAGAGTAAAAGAGGTACGGTCGGACTCCGTACTACCCTGGACACTAGCTTGACACCTTCTCGGCTTGGTAAAACCTGCCAGAGCATATGCTCCGCCGTATTTCGCTGTCAAACCCCGTTCACCCCCACACCAACGCTCCGTGATCATATACCGAATGAGATCAGAAGGCATACAGAGGTGACGGATGTAGTGCAGGCAATGTACGACGCAAAGCAGAGATGGACAGGTCATGTAGTCTGCAGGCAAGACAATAAGTGGACAACCCGCATCAGTGACTGGATCCCCAGAGACCACAAGCGACCGCTGGGCAGACCGAAAATGCGCTAGGCCAGTCCCATGATAAAACGCTTTGGCCAAAAATGGAAAGAACATGCTCGCAATGAAATAGAATGGTGTGGCATCGACTTGCATTCGTGGAGGGATGGACAAGGACAAGCTGGAGAAAGGTGACGAGGGCTAGAGACTTATGCTTTTATTTAAATAAAAAAAAAAGAAAGCTGACATTCTCATGTAATCCCGTGACCCCAGAAACACGTCTACACTAGAAAGGCTTTGCTGGTATAGCTACGCTGGTACTGTATTGTACTAGCAAACCCTCCTAGTGGAGACACAGCTCATACCAGCAGAAAAATTCTTTTGCCAATACAGCTTATGCCATTCCCCAAACAAAATAAGCTATCCCAGCAAAAGGACTTTTTTGTCAGTATTACTGTATCTACACTAGAGTTTTTTGCCATTTTACAAACGCTGTAGAGAATCACATCCTAATCGACATTATTATACCGGGAAAAGTATCTAGTGTAAACCTGGCCTACGTGTTTGGAAGCTTGGGGTTCAAAGCAGCAGCGACTGAAAGTTATTAGCCTGTGCAGGCGGGTTGCGGGTCGAGATGAAATAAGCTGGTGTCCCTCTTCCAATTCCCAATAATGGGCAAGTGTCCACTACACACAAAAACAACTGATTCTGATCTCGTTTACACTGGCGTAAAAGTGGACTATTCCACTAACTTAAGTACAGTGACTCTAGATTTACACGGAAGCAGCTGACAGCAGAATCCTGTCCCTTCTTGACTCCCCTTTCACCCATGGTCCCTTCCAAGGGTGTTCCCTACAGAGCAGGGTGGCACATTGGCAGCTCAGTGCTGGGGGAGGCTGACACTGAGGCTGCTGTGGATAGACCTGTTCTACGGACAGAAGGCTCTGGTCTCCAATGCAGGTTCTAACACCCTTCAAAACTGCTACAGTCGGGTTTTTTTAAATGGGTGGTTTTTTTAAATATCTTGAGGATTTTGTAACCACTTTTTTAAAAGTCCATGGGAAACTTGGTCACACTCGCAAATCGCCTCTTCTACCATACCCAATTCTTAAACTATATTTGAGTCCTTATTGGAAACAGTGCCTGTACTCATCAGAGAGGAAGAGCACACTGATACTATTGTAAAAGGACTGAACCAAGAAATGTAGTTTGTTCAAAGCTGTTCAGAAAGCCCTACTAAAAACACCAGAAAAGAAATCACACTGACATTCTGATTTGACACACAAAGCAAGGCTATTCAGAAGATGCAGACAGACTGAGACCCCATTGTTTCCAATCCCTGCAGTCTGGGGGTGTAGAGGAGTGTCTGATGGGGTGGCTCTGAAAGGGAAAGAGGCCAGGAAGCCTCCTGGGAGAAGCCATCATGATGGGAAGGGGATGTCATGGAGCAAAGTGTGGAGATCCTGTTTGAGGTCAAGGAGACGGAGTGGGAGGAGCAGGGAGGATGCCCCTTATCTGAACTTTTTCAGCTTTAGATTCGGTTTAGGGAAAGGTCAGTTGGGCCCCTGATTTATCCAGCCCCAGCTGACCCAGAATGCTGTAGCCAGGCTATGCTCCCCCATGCCCAGAAGCAATAGCTCATCACCCTGACCTCTGACATTTTTCCTGGCCTCCAA